TATAAGAAACAAACAGCAAGAATACTTTTAAATGGAGATTACACAGATGGATTTGAGATTTAAAAAGGCACTAGACAGGGATGCCCATTGTCTCCTCTGTTGTTTATTCTTACATTAGATGTTTTGGCAAGAAATATCAGACAAGACACAGAAATTAAAGGCCTGGAGATTAAAGACCAGAAATATAAACTACAGGCCTTTGCGGATGACCTGGTCTTCATTCTAGAGGAGCCATTGCAAACAGCTGATAAACTCTTGCAGAAAATTGAGAAATTTGGAGCAGTGGCTGGTCTGAAAATAAACAGGGAAAAGACTAAAGTAATAACAAAAAATCTAACAGACAAACAGAAAACTCAACTTTCTAAAATGACAAATCTTCAAATAGTTAAAAAAGTTAAATATTTGGGTATTTATTTAACGGCGAAATATACTACACTAAAAGAAGATAATTATGAGAGATTGATGAAACAAATAAAAATGGACTTGGAAAGATGGGAAAATCTTCAATTATCACTTTTAGGAAGAATAGAGACGGTTAAGATGGACATTTTACCAAAGCTAATTTTCTTTTTTCAAATAGTGCCTGTTAAACTTACTAAGAATTTTTTTTGATGATTTAAACAATGATTCTAAGATTTATATGGCAAAAAAAAGAAAATGAGAATCAAATGTAAATTGTTACAAGAATCTAAGGATAGAGGGGGCTTTGGACTTCCAGATTGGAGACTTTACTGTCAAGCGGCTATTTTGCTTTGGCTTAAAGAATGGATTGTATTGAGAAATAAAAGATTGCTTTATTTAGAGGGACATGACCTTCAGCTAGGTTGGCATGCTTTTATATGGTATGAGAAATCTAAAGCACATAAGTACTTTCAAAATCATGCGATAAGAAATATACTACTTTCAGAATGGGAGAAAATTAAACATAAAATATACATGAAAATACCTGAGTGGCTTTCAACAATGGAAGCATTTGCTTATCCAAATCTGATTAATTATGACAAACTGGTTAGTTATAAAGACATTTTAGACAAAGAGGGAAAACTTAAGGACAGGCAAACTTTACAACTACAAGGTATTGACTTGACATGGTGGTCCTACTTGCAAATTCAAACAAGATATGAAAAAGATATAAAATCGACAGGTTTTTACAAAGAACAGACCCCATTGGATAAAATTTTGTTAAAAACAGATGAGAATTTGATTAGAAAACTCTATAAATTTCTTTTAAACTGGAAGATGGAAGAAGAACAAGTGAAAGAAACAATGATAGTATGGGCAAAGAACTTTGGATATTCTATAGATTTGGAAGACTGGCAAAAACTTTGGGATAAAAATATTAAGCTTACAAAAGCAGTAGCATATAAAGAAAACTTATATAAGATGTTTTATAGATGGCATATGACACCAGTTCGCTTAGCGAAAATATTTAAAAATATTTCGGATATTGGCTTGAAATGTAAACAACAGCCAGGCACTTATTACCATGCCTGGTGGACATGCACTATCGCTAAGAAATATTGGTCTAAGATCCATAGGTGGTTGGAAAAGATGATGAAACTACAAATAGAATTTAAACCAGAATTGTTTTTGTTAGGAATATTAAGACCTAATTATAGCAAAGAGAATGACTACTTGATATTGCATGTTTTAACTGCTGCAAGGATAGTATTTGCCCAGTTTTGGAAAAATGAGAGTCTATCATCTGACCAGATTATTATTACCAAAATTTTAGAGTGTGCAAAAATGGATAGACTAACATTAGAAATGAAAGAAAAAGATGATTCAATCTATTTTAGAACTTGGGAAAATTTTTATCAATGGTTAGAGACACATTAGAACGTGAAGGATTTAATATTTTATAATAGATGACTGATTTTTAATCGAGTTCTAACTAACATTTTGATGATATGATTACTTTTCCTGATTTACTGATTTTCATTTGTTACTTTTGATTGTTAGGATTTTTTTTTTGAGATTTTATTAGTAGTGTTTACTTAATAGATTAACGTATTTGTTTACTAATTGTTTTTAATATGTTACAGTTTAAGCTTTGTTAAAAATGGTTGAATATGATATTTACTCATTATTATGATCCGGACAGTTGCTTGTTTGTTGAAATATGTGATTGTACCTATCCTTATTTTACCCCAATTCCTTATTTCCTTCCCCTCCCCCCTTCCTTTTCCCCTCCCTTTACCATACCTGTATTGTTCCTATTTTTCCTTATCTATATAAATTTAATAAAATTTTGTTAAAAAAAAAAAGCACAGCTCCTGAAGCAACTTGCAAACCATTGCCCACTGAATGTAGTTGGTTAGCCAATTGCAAATCCAACTGATGGTGGTGCTGTGTCTCCCACATTGTTCTACCCTACCAAGAAGTAAGTTGTGGTGTACTTTGTCAAATGTGTTGCTGAAGTCCAAGTACACGATCTCCACAGCATTTCTCTCATTGTAGTTATTCAAAAAAAAAAAAATGCAGATCACATCATCAGAGGCACAGAGTAGCTGGGCTGATGTACGATTGAAATTGAAAAAAATAAATTTATAACGAGGAGGGAAGGGAAACTGAGGAAGACAGATTGGTCATAGAGAAGCAGAATGCACCACAGAGAGATTACAGGTAGCTGAACAATTGTAGCGTGTTAGATACCCACTGTGTGGAGAGCAATCAAGACTTGAGAAAAGGGCTTTATGCTGCCTTTTTATTATTAAATTTATTTATTAAAACTTGTTGCACATCTCTCAGTTAACTCTGAGCATCTTGCCTTGCCCTAATGATCATAGCAACACTGACAATACCCTTGTTTTTCTTGTCAAAAGCTTTTGCGAATTCTTACTCAATGCATTTTTAAAAATGAAACATTTTCCAGTGTACATTTTTTTTCTCAAATTGCCACCACCAAGGGGGATGCAACAAATACGTCAGCAATATGGTGCTACTATCATCCAGCAGCCATCGAAGGATAACAAACAAGCACTTCCGAGAAAAAGAGATCCCAGCAGGAGTTGCTGTGTTCAAAACCATGACCCTTTTTCTCCTCAACTCAATATTCCTACAGCTCTTCTCCATCAGGTTCATCTGCAAGGTGGAACAGCCTCTATATATGAAATTTTACATTGCTTTTTTCACTGGACCTATCAGCCATTATCCACTTACATTTTGAAGATCTCCCAGAGGCAGCCATCATTTTGAGTGCACCCGCAATTCCTTAAGGTTGTCTGCACAGTGTTAGGGTAGCAAAACAGAGCAGTTTCTTCCTCTCCCACATATCAATCACCCAGAAGCAGCCGACATTTTGGCTCTGAGGCAGACATGGCAAAATGGCGGCTGCTTTCATAAGTCTACTGCGTGCCGAAGATGAATCCCAGGCACAATGAAAATAGCAATTGCTTCCATGACACAGTCATACGGCCCATGGATGAGTGGCTTGCCCATTTTTCCCAGCATGAGGTTCAGAGATCTTCACAAGGTAAGGAGGAAGGAGGCTGTGAGGCCTGTTTGGGTGGGTGTCAGGCCTAAGCACTGCAGGGACAAAGTGGGAGTGGGGAAAAGCCTATGGGGGAGGGGAAAGCCCGGTGGGACTCCATACTTGGGGTAGGGGAGGACTTTGGAATGAAAGCCTGGAACTGAGCTATGCTTCCAATCCTGAGATAGTCACTGTTCCATTTAACGACTTGCAAATTTGTTTAACAGCTTCATCAGGAGAAGGGGTAAGGTTATTTAAGCAAAGCAGTCTCATTTAATGGTCGTTATGTAACCATAATTGGTAGGCCTCATTACAGTTATATCTTGAGGACTACTTGTATGGTGGCTGGGGAATTCTGGCGTTCAAAATATGGAGGACACCAAGATAGAAGACAGAAACTCTACCTATGGGAGTTCCATAATCAATATACAAAAAAACACCATCCAAAAGCCTTTTTGAGGAATTCCACGCTTCTGCTAAAGCAGCGGTTTTCAACCTGTGGGTCGCGACCCCATTTGGGGTCAAACAACCATTTCACGGGGGTCGCTAAACAACGCAGTCCGCCATTTTTTCCCTTTTTCCTTAGCTGTGCTACTCCCTCTTATTCTATTGGCTTTTGAAAGCCAATAAAATAGACTCTATTCAAGAGACTCTATTCTATTGGCGTTCGAAAGCCAATAGAATCTATTGGCTTTCAAAAGCCAAGAGAATAGACTCTCTTGAATAGAGTCTAATTCTATTGGCTTTCAAAAGCCAAGAGAAATTGTCTAGACTGTCTCTGCCCTGCTGAGCCCGCCAAAAGTCCCAGTCTGCAAACGGTGCTGCAAGTTGTCTGCAGCTAAGGAAAGCTTTCTGGATGTTTCCACCCCTTCCTGCTGAGCAACTACTAAATGTAAGTGAAAGAGGGCCAGGGGTGGGAGGCCGGCGGGCACAGGGAGGGTTTCTGGCATGCGTGGGGCCCGGCGGGTGCCTTACTTCCCTTGGGCTGGGCCAGCTGGTGGCCCAGCCGGTGGCCGCCCTGCACCCTCGCTGCCACGTGCCATGGCCACCCAGGAGTGCCTGGGCCTGCCTGCCGCTGCACCGAACGAGCAGTGGCCAAGGTAAGGCTAACGGGGCAGCAGCGGGCGCAGGGAGGGTTGCTGGCGCACATGGGGCCCGGCGGGTGGCTTACCTCCTTTAGGCTGGGCCAGCTGGTGGCCCAGCCGGTGGTCGGCCTGTGCCGTTGCTGCTGCTTGCCAGCTACACCTCAGCCAGCACATGGGGTGGCACCACGCATGCACTGGGCGACGGCCTGCGTGCACCCTCGGCCTGCCCAGTGTCCACCCTCGGCCTGCCCAGCGTGCACTCCAGCCACAGGAGAGGAGGCGGAATGTGCGCGCCTCCTCCTGCCCCGCCCGCAGGGAAATACAGGTAGTCCTCAACTTATGACCACATGGTTGGGGGTCGCGACATTAGGAAGGTTGAGAACCACTGTGCTAAAGGAATTATCCAGAAACGTCTGCTGATCACCAGAAACAGATAGCCTTTATCAAAGTAACATTTTCCATTTATTTCTCTCTCCAATTATAGGTCTAATCTTGAGTTGTGTTGACTAAAAAAGATCAGGCCAGAATTCATATTGTCAATTTCTCACCTGCACTCCCAATGGAAATCAGAAAAGAAATCCAATCTTTCTCTAAACTCATCTACTTTTGCCTCCTGTGGATTTTCTTATGTGAAGTATTGTCCAAGACTGGACGTCTGAAAGGTTTCTCAGTGTGTAAAACTCAATAAGAGGTAGGGGTAGGCAACCTTGGCTCTTTTATGACTCATGGACTTCAACTCCCAGAATTCCTGAGCCAGCATGGCTCAGCTTGGAAACCTCTCACCTTTCCCTCAGCGTGGCTGGCTCAGGAATTCTGGGAGTTAAAGTCCACAAGTCATAAAAGAGCCGAGGTCGCCTAGCCCTACAATAGACCTAGTACTGAACTATTTCCCACAAACTGGACATTCAAATAGTTTCTCTCCTGGTATCCTCTGGTAAAGGGGTCCCCAACCTCTAGGCTGCACCCCACAAGAGGGCCATGGCCTGTTCAGAACCAGGCCATGGGAGAGGCGGGCAGGTGTATGTGTGCAGTTCCACTCACAAGGGCGGCACCACAAAGACTTCTCTTGTGTGGAGTTGCACATGCATGCTATCCTGTTGCTTGTGTGGCCCGATTCCCCTCTCTCTCCCAGCCGGGCTGCCAAACTGCCTGCTCACAATGCTCCAAAAGCGGAGCGGTGAGAGTAGAGGCTGAGTGACACAAGCACACCATGACCAGCTTCGCTGACCCACTGAGGCTGCCTGCTCAGGACATCCAAACCGCTGTTGGGAGTGTCTGGGCTGCACCCCCAAAGGCTTTTTTTCTCCGTGCCAAAAGCTTTTGCAAACAGACAAAAGGCTGGGCCCCAAGCTGCAAAGGTGGGGACCGCTCCTCTGGTGTACCACCAGGTCAGAATTCTCACTTAAACTTTCCCCACAGTCTGGACACTCATAGGATTTCCCTCCCCTGTGAGTCCTTGGTGCATCACCAGATTGGAATTCAGTCTGAAACTTTTCCCACACTCTGAACATGCATGCAGTTTCTGTCCTGTGTGAGTCCTCTGGTCTCTCATGATGTGGGAAGTCTTATAGAGATTTTTCCCATACTCTGAACACTCATAGGTTTTCTCTCCTGTGTGAGTCCTCTGGTGTGTCATGAGGCTAGAATTCTGACTGAATCTTCTCCCACATTCTGGACACTGATATGGTTTCTCTCCTGTGTGAGTTCTCTGATGTGTCACAAGGCTGGAATTCTGACTGAAACTTTTCCCACACTCTGGACACGGATACGGTTTCTCTCCTATGTGAGTCTTCTGATGTGTCACCAGGTTGGAATTCTGACTGAAACTTTTGTTACACTCTGGACACTCATACGGTTTCTCTCCTGTGTGAGTCCTCTGGTGTGTCACGAGGCTGGAATTCTTATTGAAACTTTTCCCACACTCTGGACACTCATATGGTTTCTCTCCTGTGTGAATCCTCTGGTGTGTCACAAGGCTGGAATTCTTACTGAAACTTTTCCCACACTCTGTACACACATATGGTTTCTCTCCTGTGTGAATTCTCTGGTGTGTCACAAGGCTGGACTTCTTACTAAAACTTTTCCAACACTCTGGACACTCATATAGTTTTTTTCCTGTATGAGTCCTTTGCTGTGTCACCAGGCTGGAATTTTTACTCAAACGTTTCCCAAAATCAGGACTTTCATATGATTTCTCTCTGTTGTGAGTCGTCTGGTGTGTCATCAGTCGGGAATTCTTACGGAAACTTTTCCCACACTCTGGACACTCATATTGTTTATCTTTTGTATGTGTCCTCTGGTGTTTCACCTGCTTAGAACTGCTACTGAAACTTTTCCCACAATGTGGACACTGATATGGTTTCTCACCTGTGTGAGTCCTCTGGTGTATCACCAGGCTGGAATTGTGACTGAAACCTTTACCACAATCTGGACATTCAAAGGGTTTCGCTCCTGTGTGAGTTCTCTGATGTGTCACCAGGCTGGAAATCTGACTAAAACGTTTCCCACATTCAGGACATTTAAAGGGTTTCTCTCCTGTGTGAATCCTCTGGTGTATCACCAGGTGGGAATTCTGACTGAAAGTTTTCCCACAGTCAGGACATTCAAAGGGTTTCTCTCCTGTGTGAATCCTTTGATGTATCAACAGGTGGGAATTCTGACTGAAACTTTTCCCACAATCAGGACATTCAAAGAATTTGCCTTTGTGAGTCCTCTGGTGACTCATGGGGCATGAATTTCTAATGAAATGTTCCCCACAAACTAGAGATACCCTTTCTTCTTGGTGTGAGTCCCATGATATATCACCAAGTTGCAGTAGTTGCTAAAGCATTTACCACAGCGAGAGCATTTGTAGAGCATCTGTCCAATGTGTGCCTGGCTGGATTTGCTTTCCTTTTCAATGTTGCTTGTTATTCTCAGTCATCCAGAGTGCTCTTATTGCCATCCTCTTTGTCTATAAAATTCAAAGAAAAGTGTAACTTTAATTGTTTATAAAATGGTTGCAGAAGATGTGAAAAAAGAAAAAAAGTATGCATTACAATGAATTAGCAAACCTGCCACAATACAAAAATAACCCCTTACATACAATACAATACAAAAATAACCCCTTACAAGAAGCAATGGATGGAAACTAATCAAGGAGAGAAGCAACCTAGAACTAAGGAGAAACTTCCTGACAGTTAGAACAATTAATCAATGGAACAACCTGCCTCCAGAAGCGGTGAATGCTCCAACACTGGAAGTTTTTAAGAAGAGACTGGACAGACATTTGTTTGAAATGGTGTAGGGTTTCCTGCCTGAGCAGGGGGTTGGACTAGATGACCTCCAAGATCCCTTCCAACTTTTATTATTATTATTATTAGTAGTAGTAGTAATAGTAGTAGTATTTAGTTATGATTCATTTGACACATGGAAGACTACTGAGATCCAAGTTCAAATATCCATTCAATCATGAAGTTCTTTTTTTGACCTTAGCCTTTTTGATTCTTAGCCATGCAAAGGGTTATCATTAAATATATCTGAAAGTGCTGGAGATACAGTTTTAGATATATGCATACAGAGAGCAATACTAACACACACACCTACAAATGTATATATGTGGAAAATCCATGTGTTTTAGCCTGGAAATTATCCCAAAGTGGTTACAGTCAAACCTTTAATTCAATGGTTCTCAACCTTTCTAATGCCGTGACCCCATAATACAGTTCCCCACGTTGTGGTGACCCCCCCAACCACTTATACATCACCGGGTGTCAGGGGCGTAGCCAAAGAAAAGGGGGGGGGGAAATGGCGGACAGCCTTGTTTGGCGACCCCTATGAAATGGTCGTTCGACCCCAAATGGGGTCCCAACCCACAGGTTGAGAATCACTGCTTTAACTGATGAAATGATGCCTAAAGCCTCTGCAAGATTTAAAGCACCAGTGTCAGCTCTGCCTGCCTCAGCTGGGGCCTCACAGGCATTCTGCCATCAAAAGAAGAAGGGGAGGAGGGAGGATGATAGAGGAAACGATGAAAGGGCAATAAATCTTGAAACTCGGGAGGGGAGGAATGACAGGTGAGAATGACCAGAGCAACCAGATCTTGTTTCTACCAGCATACCTTGGCCAGGCACCCTGAGAAATATGCGTATTACCCCCAAACATCTCAGAGTTCTCAAAACATCTTGGCGAACTCTTGCTGGCTGGAAATGAACTGGTCATGGAGGGAGAGATGGGCTGGGGGCAAACCTACCTCTTATTTTGCATCCATCCAAGTCACCCTCAGTCCTTCTCTGTGTTAAACTAGATATATCCAGTTCCTGCCACCATTAATCGTACATTTTAGCCTCCAGTTCCCATCTCAACATCTCTTTTGTATCATGGTGACCAAAACTGGCGTAGTCTTACCATGCAATATAATGCAGTTCTGACACTTTGTGTGTTTTTGATACCATCCCACTGTTGATGCAGACTAGGGCTGCATTGGCTTTTTCTGCAGCTGCAGCACCTACTAGCTCAAACTTCAGTGGTTGTCCACTAGGACCCCTAGATCCCTCTCACAGATACTGCTGTCAGGTCTGCCACGTGTGGCTTGGCACCTCACAGGCATCCTTTCATCAAAGGCTAGAAAGGGGTGGTAGGATAAACGAGCAATAAAGTTGTGTGTACATGATGGGGAATAGGGAGTAGGGAATGTCCAGGTGATGAAGACCAGAGAAGCTTGGAACCAGTATGCACCCGGAATCCAAGGCCAGGCACCCTAAGAAAGAATGCCTATTGCCCCAAAACATCTCGGAGTTCTCAAAACATCTTGGCAAGTTCCGATTGGATGGAGACGGACTGGTCACAGGGAAGAGGGCTAGGATGAGGAGAATCTGTAAGGACCCACCCCACTTTGCATCTTAAGAAGACAGAACTCTTGGAATAATTCTTCCAACAGGAATCCTTTATTAAGAGAAAATGGTTGCAGGCATGCTAGACAGGACTTGGGGTTCAAGCTCTCCCATTCAAGGTTTTAAGGGGTTCCCCAGTAGTCCCACCCAATCAACCCCCCTTCCAGTGATAGTTTCAAGTATCACAATTCCACCCCCTTTCTTCTTTCTTCCGTCTGGATGGAGACTTCAGATAACTACATGAAAGGCAAATACCCTTCCTTGTTATGGTAATGTTCTTGGGTGCTAACACTTTGAGGTTACAATAAACACACATTCAGCATTCAGCTCTTTGAAGTGTACTGAAGGAAGTGAGGGCCATAAAGCCCCTTTGTTCTCCCCCTTCTCTCCCTCTTATGGCAGAATCCAGAGAAGGCAGAATTGGGGTTTTCTATGTTTGATAATTAAAGATGAAATATAATTGGATTCTGACATCCGGCCCCTCTTAAAAATAAGAGAGATTCATCTGAAAGAAAACAAAACAGGTATAAGACTTAGTCAGGCTTGTTAGGATACTCTGTGTGAAACTTCTTCAATAGCTTCGGGGCTCTGACATGACGTTTATGGACCCACTCGTTTTGTGAGGGAGGGAGGTGTTTCCAGGCAACTAGGTACTGAGTTGCTCCATGATATCTCCTAGAGTCAAGGATCTCTTTTATTTCGAAGTGTTGTTCGCCCTCCACCATGATTGGAGGTGGTGGGGGGGATTTTTGGCCGTAGAGGTGATTGATGCTCTCTTTTCAGCAAGCTGCAATGAAAAATTGGGTGTATTTGCCTGAGATTTTTGGGTAATTCTAATTCTACTGTTACTGGATTTATGATTCTTTTAATTGGAAAAGGTCCTATGTATTTTGGTCCAAGTTTTTTACAGGGCTGTAGGGACTTTAGGTATTTTGTAGATAAGTACACCATTTCTCCTATAATGAATGGTGTAGGCTCAACCCTTTTTTTATCGGCTTGTGTTTTGTATGCCTGCCTAGCTTCATCTAGTGCTTTTCTGACTATTGGCCAGGTGTTTTGTAATTTCTCCATCCATTCTTTCAGCGAGGGGATCGTTGGTTCGTTTGGGGTTAATTCTGGCATGGGGTTGAAACTTTGACCGGTGGCTATTTGAAAAGGAGTGTAACCTGTGCTGGAGTGGACTGCATTATTGTAGGCAACTTCTGCAAAAGGAAGTAAGTCCGTCCAATCACTCTGTTGGAAATTTAAAAAGCATCTCAAATATTGCTCAAGTACTGAATGGCACCGTTCCGTTTGTCCATCTGTCTGAGGGTGATGGCTAGATGTCAGTCCCTGAGTGGTCCCTAAGAGAGATAAAAATTCCTTCCAAAATGCAGACGTAAATTGCACTCCCCTATCAGAGATGATGCGTTGGGGTGCCCCGTGCAATCTGTAAATGTGCTGGATGAAAAGTCTTGCTAAGGCCTTTGCAGTGGGAATCTTTTGGCAAGGGATAAAGTGCACCTGTTTGGAAAACAAGTCCGTGACTGTCCAGATAACAGTATTCCCATTGCTTTCTGGCAATTCCACTATAAAATCCATGGCTATTTCCCTCCAGGGGGCTGAGGGACTTGCCACTGGTTGTAATAGCCCTGGCGATTTCCCTTGCAACCTCTTTGCTGATGCACAGGTTGGGCAGCTGGCAACATAACTTTCTATGTCCTTTTTTATTGATGGCCACCAAAATTGCCGTTTAATTAAGTGTAAAGTTTTTACAAATCCAAAATGCCCTGCTGATTTTGTGTCATGGCAAAGGTGCATGAAAGTTAGTCTTTGAGTTGTGGTATATATAACTTTCCCCCTACCCAAGGCAACCCGTCTCTCATTGTGCACACATTTTGTTTTTCTGGAACCATTCATCTGTTTCCAAACTTTTTCTGAATTCAATCCCAGTTTGGCTGTCCAGTTGTGGTTTTATTTTGGCTTGGGTTCTTGTGGTTACTGGTGCTGCCAGTTGTGACTCTGCCATTATTGGTCTAGAGTCTGTGGTTCGTGCGCTGTTATATTGGGGCATGCGAGATAGTGCATCTGCCAGGAAGTTCTTTCTTCCTGGTAAATGTTTGAGCTTAAATTGGAATTGGTGAAAATGCTGGGACCAGCGGGCTTGTTTGGGATTGAGTTTCCTGGAAGTTTTCAGGGCTTCTAAATTTTTGTGATCAGTCCACACCTGGAAGGGGATTTTGTTGCCTTCCAGGAACTGTCGCCACGTGAGTAATGCCCAACGTATCCCATAAGCCTCCTTCTCCCATACGGGCCAGCGCTGTTCTGTTTCCGTGAGTTTCTTGGATGTATATGCACAGGGTTGCAATACTGCATCATCATTTTCTTGTAATAGCACAGCCCCCACTGCCACATCACTTGCATCTGCCTGTATTATGAAGGGCTTGTCCATGTCTGGGTGCCTTAGTACTGGTTCGGCAGAAAAAAGTCTCTTTAGTCTCTCAAACGCTGCTTGGCACTCCATTGTCCATGTTAGTGGCTGGCTAGGTTTTACTGAGGATTTTCCCTTCGTTTTTAGTAAGTTAGTGAGGGGCAAGGCTATCTGTGCAAATGAGGGGATGAATTGGCGGTAAAAATTTGCAAAGCCCAGGAAACTTTGTAGTTGCTTTCTTGTGCGGGGTGGTGCCCAATTTAGTACTGCTTTGACCTTCTCCGGGTCCATTTCAATGCCCTGTGGGGATATGCGATAGCCTAGGTAGTCTATCCTTTCCTGGTGGAATTCGCATTTTGAGAGTTTGGCATATAGGTGAGCGGCTCGCAGCTTCTTTAAAACCGCTCTGACAAGTTTGACGTGTTCTTCTTTTGTTTCGGTAAAGATAAGAATGTCGTCCAAGTAAACAAGGACCCCCTTAAACAGGTGCTCCCTTAGAACGTCATTGATTAATTGCATAAAGACTGCAGGGCCCCCTTGTAATCCAAATGGCAAGACTTTGAATTGATAGCACCCATGGGGCAGTTAAATGCAGTCTTCCATTCGTCCCCTTCCTTGATTCTCACTCGATAGTAAGCTTCCCTTAGGTCTAGTTTAGAAAAAAATTTCCCTTTCGATAGGTGTGACAGCATGTCTTTCATGAGGGGCAGCGGGTATAGGTTGCTTTCACTGATTGTATTCAGGGCCCTATAATCCACGCATAAACGTAAAGAGCCATCCTTCTTCTCTCTAAAAAGGACCGGGGCAGCCACTTTAGGCTTGGCTGGCTCAATGAAACCTCTCTCTAGGTTTTTTTTTATAAATCTTTCCATTTCCTCCTTCTCCTTTGGGCTCATGGAGTATAATCTGGGCTTCGGGAGTTTTGCCCCAGGCTTGAATTCAATGGTACAGTCTGTGGGTCGGTGGGGGGGAAGCTCATTCGCCCTCTCCTCACTGAAGACTTCAGCAAGGTCCCTATATTCCTCTGGTATTTCTGTTAATCTTTTTTCCTCTCCTATGGATGCTTTTTCTATCTTGATTCTGGTAGCCTCCTTGGGGTTTTAAGTCCATAGGGTCCCCCTTCGGGAATTTGATTTCGGTTGTCCTCCAATTTACCCAGGGGTTCCATTTTTAAAACCATTCCATCCCTAGAATCATTGGGCATTCCATAACTGGGGTCACCACCAACATTAAGTCCTCTTCATGGTTGCCCAGGAGAGGTGTATGGCAGAGTGCTAGGGTAGCTGGCACCCCCCTGCTATGGATCCATCTAGCTGGCCAAATGAGATTGGTTGTTCCAGTCTCCTGGATGGGATGCCCAGATTCCCCACTAGTGTTGGGCTAATGAGGCAGCGGGTACAGCCAGAGTCTATTAAGGCTTTCACCTTCACAGCTTCGGGCATGGGGGGATTAATATAGTCACTGTTTTGAAGATGGGTGTGATGCATCCACTTACCAGGGGTTCGCCCTCCGAGCTGTCATCTGAGGCATCCACCGGCCCTGTGGTGTAGGCTGGAGTTCTTTCCCCTTGGTGAGCAGAGGTGGGGGTTTCTGCAATTTCCATCATTCTCATGGCCGTTTCTTTTGGCTTAGCTGAATACTTTCCGGTTTGTTGATTGGGGATCTGTCTGGGTTGTGCTGGGGGGCCTTTGAGCGGCATTCTACAGCTCGATGCCCTTCTCTTCCGCACTTTGAAACATCCCATTTGCTTCTTGGCTGTATCCGTGATTTCACCGGTTTGGTGTGTCGCTCAGGCGGGGGGCCCGGGCTTTGTTCCCAAATTGTTTTCCTCGGCGGTGCCCTCTTCAATATGTCGATCTTCTTGCTTCCTCTGCCAAGACGTACCATTCCTGCAAGTCGATGTGGGTCCCTCGTGCAGGAAGCATTAAATAACATATAGATCATAGTTTAGTCCGTCTTTGAAATGGCCAAGGAGGGTGTCTTCTGGCCAATTCGTTTGCTGGCATTGGCCCGGAATTCTTGTGTATACTCAGCCACTGGGCGTTTGCCTTGCCTCATCGTTTTTATCCTTTCACGGCCTTTGTGATCAGCCAGGGGGTCTTCAAATTGCCTTCTCACAGAGGACATGAAACGGTTGAAGTCGTTGAGTTCTGGGGCATTGGAATCGTGCAAGTTCACCACCCAATCTGCAGCTGGTCCGTTCAGGGCAGATTGCACGATCCGGATGCGGCCTTTGTTGCTGGGAATGTCCCGCCCGTATTCCTTCATGTAGCTGAGGACTTGGGTTAGGAAAAACCCAAGCGTGTTGGCTCCCCCTTTGAATTTCACCTCCACCGGTGGACGTCTTGGAATGGATCGGTGCCTCCGTTGCGGGTGGTAGTGTCTTCCGTCCAGATTGCCATTTGTGGTCCGGTAGGGGGTGGGGCTCCTGGATCAGTAGATGTCCCTGGGGTTGCAGGTTCCACGTCCCCCTCGGTGTCTCTCCCTTTGTGGCTCCAGGAACTGGGGCGGCCGTAGGGCTCAGTATTCTCCTCTCCTAGGGAGCTGAGAGTTCTCTTCATCAGGTCAATAGCTTTCTCTAGGATCCAGTCTGAGTACGGTGCCCAGCTTCCTCCCTCTTCACTTGCGTGCAGGGATTTCTCCATCTCCTGCTTCCATTCTGGTTGCTTGGTCCCCCGTCTCAGGGTCACCTTTCTTGATTCCTTTCCCCACTCACTTTTCTTTCCAACGCCCATCGACCAGCGAGGCTTGTGGTCCTGTGTCTCCACCACTTCTTCTTCTGAGGAATCTGGCCTCTCGGATCCCAACATCTGGCAAGGTTCCAACTGGGTCAGCGGCTCTCTTTCCAGGGAGTTTTCTCCCTCTCTTGCTTCGTTGTCTGACATGGTAAATTTTTGCAAAATCCCCCGGCAAGGGTCTACCTTCCAGGTGGATTAATTTTGCAAGTCCTGTCTAATGTAAGGACCCACCCCACTTTGCATCTTAAGAAGACAGAACTCTTGGAATAATTCTTCCAACAGGAATCCTTTATTAAGAGAAAATGGTTGCAGGCATGCTAGACAGGACTTGGGGTTCAAGCTCTCCCATTCAAGGTTTTAAGGGGTTCCCCAGTAGTCCCACCCAATCAACCCCCCTTCCAGTGATAGTTTCAAGTATCACAATTCCACCCCCTTTCTTCTTTCTTCCGTCTGGATGGAGACTTCAGATAACTACATGAAAGGCAAATACTCTCCTTTGGTATGCTAACACTTCGAGGTTACAATAAACACACATTCAACATTCAGCCCTTTGAAGTGTACTGAAGGAAGTGAGGGCCATAAAGCCCCTTTGTTCTCCCCCTTCTCTCCCTCTTATGGCAGAATCCAGAGATGGCAGAATTGGGAGTTTCTATATTTGATAATTAAAGATGAAATATAATTGGATTCTGACACATAATTTTATAAAATTCTGAGAACCTTTTACAAACTTTTTGCGGACATCTGAATTGAAGTATTAATTGTTCATGAATTTATGAATGGGCAAGGGATGATTATGGAAGGTGGAGAAATGCTGCTTTTGTTATACTTATGATGAAGACTGGAATTCATTTCTTTAAATATTGCTTTTTTAAAACTCTCTTTTTTCTTTGCACTTTTCTTTTTTCTATTTTTTCTCTCTAATCTCAATTTGTATTTTATTATTTAAAATCCTTAATAAAAAGTTATATATTTATATAATTATATAAACACAAATGGCTTTAATAATCAGAAAGTGCTTCTGGCCCTAATAAAAGATAAAGGTTTCCCTGTCAATCGTGTCTGACTCTAGGGCACAGTGCTCATCTCTGTTTCTTGGCCGAGGGAGCTAGCATTGTCCAAAGACAATTTCCATGGTCATGTGGCCAGCATGGCTATATACCAAGGGCACACGGAACACTGTTACCTTCCCACCGAAGTGGTACCTATTAATCTACTGGTATTTGCATGCTTTGGAACTGCTAGGTGGGCAGGAACTGGGGCAAGCTCCTGCCCACCTAGCACTAATGATGTTTCCTAGTTTGGGTAATGAAATGTTTGCAAGAAAACAAGCAAGCTCAGAGAGTATCAAGGACTCCTCATATTAACCCTAAGCTACAAATATAGTTTTCACTGTCAGAAAATTTCTCCTTATTTCTAGGTTGAATCTCTCCTTGATCAGTTTCCATCTGTTATTCCTTATCTGGCCGTCAGGTGCTTTGGAAAATAGGTTGATCTCCTCCTCTCTATTCTCTTTTATTAGTACTGGGGCAAGTAATGGGAGTTCACCCCATTGTGTGGAGGTTGGGTCTCGAACCCAGACTGTCAGTTCTCCAGCTGACAAGGTCAAATACATTTCATCTATGTCCAGAAATTATATAAAAACTTATACTCATTTTGAAATAGTTCTTTATTATGTAATAGAAATGTTGAGTAAATTTGGGTTTTTTATTTTTTTAAAAGGAAGAAATATAAGCTGTTGGGAATATAATAGTTTTCTCTTTTGTCTTTAGTGCACAAACCTAAATTACTGTAAAAAAGGACCTGTTGTTCTCCTTGGGAGTGGTCTTGATCCAGGTCAACAGCTGCTGTTAAGCAAATTGGCCACAGTTATGAAGGTTAGAATATGTACAGAATTTAACAGTTCCGGTAAGTTGTCAGCTTTATTTAATATAATAATACTTTATTGTTTAGCGATAAGGCTGTACAAAATACAGAATTATATAATAAGACAAGGGTAACAAGATATAGTAAAAGGCAAAACTAAAAGGAAATACAAATTGTATTTCTGGGTCACCTTCCATAATTTGGGGAATGCAGTACTGTACTGTTTTGTTCGAATAAAGGACCACATATTTGGGTTCTGGATGCACATGAAATATGTTGTGGTAACATATGGATCTCAATAGGCCATTTGTTTAAAATGTGCCCTAAGATATTGATCTCTATCTTTTTTACACAATTGGCATTCAAATAATGTATGAGCTATGTCCTCTGTATCTGGAGTTCCACCAATACATGCATGTTTGTCATAAGAAACTTGGTTAAAACTTCCATATTTAATAATTGTTAAAATTGTCAAATGGAGCAATGTATGAAGCAAGAAATAGAGGAAAATGCTAATATGTTTTCAGCTCCAGGATTTCCCCCTCAGCAGTTCCATAAACATTGTTTTTAATTGGATCTCAAGTGCCTCCTCTTAAGTAGAAGAATAAATTTAAATTTCCTGTGCCATTTGTTACTAGTATATTTATTATTTTAGATTCTTTTATAATCATAAACTTGAGGGGTATGTATTCCAATATAGGAATCTACTATTATAGCATCCCTAACAGAAGACCATTCAGCTTTTGTGTAAACAGCTCCAGCAAATCTCCAGAGGCAGTTTTTTTATATTGAAAAGCTCTTAATGTTCAGAATTTTTGCCTAATGTCCAATTTAATTTTACTTCCCTATAATTTAAGCACACTAATTTTTAATATTTTGGAACTTTTTGACCACAGAATTTTACCTATTAGATTATAGAGTAGATTATGATCATAACGGTAACTATAGCATAATGGTAAGAAGGATACCTAAAAATTATTTTTTTTAATACATAAGGATTTTTTGGGGGGTAACTATTTCTCAGAGATTGAAAACTTTAACATAATACTGATAGATCCGTATATTGTCTGCTAATATCTGGCAGTTTCTCATTTCCCTGTCTTCCTAAATCCATTGTCTCCCGTTCAGGGAATACTTGAGTCTATGGAGTGTAAGAAGCTTTTCGGAGAATATAATGCTTCTCTTCCTTTTGTGGGAACTATTCTGCCTGTGTTGTAGGCTAGTGTCTGTAAAATTGAATTATTCTTTGAATGTGAAGGATCAAATCAGTTGTGGTTTGTTTACACAAGGAAGAATTCATCCTGCAGTTTATACATTTTAACAAACTCTCATTTTAGTGACACATGTCGTTATTCCTGCATATCCTGTGCGAACTACTATGAAATGCATGTTGGCACTTTTATCTGGATGTTGGATCTTGACATTTATGTGTAAGTAATTGAATTTGGGGGGTATTTAAGAAAAACATATGTTTGAGATGATGGCACAAAGATAATGAATGTAGTATCGATGCTATTTTTCAACACTTTTCAACACTTCTCATAATCAATAATCCTATAATTATGCAAAATGTTTTGAATATCTCCAAGCTTATAACAGTTATTCCAAGTTCAAGGCAGTATAATATGTACTCAACAGTTTTGTTTTGAGAGCAGTATAAAACATATCTGTACTTATTGTAATTGATTATCAAAAATGCTTACAAGATAGCAATAAACAAGAATCATAATATGCTGATTTACCATGGTTGATTAACAGTATTATGAAAATTAAATGGGTGTGCAATTTGAAAGAGTAAATACCTATTCACAATTGGATAATACAAATTTATCTTAGAGAATTGTTATAACCCCACTCTGCTGTTGTTTAGAAGAGCTTTGAAGACCTGACTCTTCACCCAGGACAGCTAAAGGCTGCTCCAGGAACACACTTCAAGAGTTGAAATTTGGATCACGTTGTTTGGTACTTTTGCCATATATATCACACATAGCATTCCTTTCATTATAGCATCTTCTGCCAATTGGATTCTATTTGTACAGTAATATGTTCTTTTTAGATTTATGAAAAATAACTGATAACTAAAAGGCAAAATTTATATTTGTATTTTTAGTTAAATTTGTACTGAAAGACAAAAAGTACAAAAGTACAAAAGTACAAAAAAAAAAAAAGGAAGGACACATAACTAAGTCAGAATATCAGCAGATAGTCCGAATCTACCCAAGATGGAGTCAGAAAAGCAAAGGCTCAGAATGAACCAAGGCTTGCAACATAAGTCAAAGATAATAAAGTTTCTTTCAACATATAAATAACAAGAAAAGAGTCAAGGAAATAGTTGGCTCACTAAAGAGAGAAGATGGCAAGGAAGTAACAGGCTGTAGAGAGAAAGCAGAACTGCTTAATTCATTGTTTGCATCAGTTTTCACGCAAAAAGAAACTATAGCCCAATCTACCAAAAACATAACTGTAAAAGAGAGACTAGAAATAAAAATTAAAATAAGCAAGAAAATGGTAAGAGAACACCTGTCTGACTTTGATAAATATAAATCACTGGGACCTGACAGGTTACCCCCCAGAGTTCTGAAAGTGCTGGCAGAGGTTAACTCAGAACCATTATACCATATCTTTAAAAAAGTCCTGGAGCACTGAGGAATTACCAGAGGATTGGAAAAGAGCTGATGTGGTTCCCGTCTTCAAAGAAGGAAAGAAAAATAGACTAAGGAAACTACAGCCCAATCAGCCTAACCTGGGAAGATACTGGAAAAGATAATCAAAAAACAGATCTGTGAACATCTAGAAACAAATAAAGTTATAACTAGAAGCCAGTATGGGTTTGTTAAAAACAGATCATGCCAAACCAATCTTATTTCATTCTTTGATAAAGTGATTAAATAAGTAGACCAGTGAGATGCTGTGGACATAATATGCTTAGACTTCAGCAAGGCATTCAACAAAGTAGACCACAATCTACAGCTAGGTAAGCTAGAAAAATGTGGAACAGACAATATCACCACCAGATGGATTTGTAGCTGGCTGACAAACCATACTCAACGAGTAGTCCTTAATGGTATTACATCCACATGGAGGGAAGTAAGCAGTGGGGTGCCACTAGGTTCTGTCTTAGGCTCAGTACTCTTCAATATCTTCACAAATGACTTAGATGAGGGAATAAAAGGGGAATTCATCAAATTTACAGATGACACTAAGCTGGCAGGAATAGCCAACTGCCCAGAAGACAAGCTCAGGATGCAAAAAGTTTTTGACAGACTTGAACAATGGACCCTATCCAACACATGAAAGTTAATGTGGAGAAAAGCAAGGTTTTACACTTAGGCAGGAAAAACCAAAGGTACAAGTACAGATTAGGCAAAACCTGGCTCAAAAACAGTCACTGTGAGAGGGACCTTGGAGTCCAAATGAACAATCACTTAAACATGAGCCAGCAGTGTGCGGCAGCAGTCAAAAAAGCTAATAAAATCCTTAGTTGTATAAACAGAGGCATAGAATCAAAATCACATGAAGTATTACTACTGCTTTATAAAGCCTTAATAAGGCCACATCTTGACTACTACATCCAGTTTTGGTCACCACATTACAGAAAAGATGTTAAGACTTTGGAAAAAGTGAAAAGAAGAGCAACTAAGATGATTAAGGGCCTGGAAACAAAAACATATGAAGAATGGTTGCAGGAACTGGGTATGGCCAGTCTAAAAAACAGAAGGGGTAGGGTTGACATGATAGCAGTATTCCAGCATTTGAGAGGCTGCCACAAAGAGGAAGGAGTCAACTTATTTTTCAAAGCACCAGAAGGCAACAATGAATGAAAACTACTCTAGGAGAGAAGCAACCTGGAATTAAGGAGAAACTTCCTAATAGTGAGGACAGTTAACCAGTGGAACAGCTTGCCTTCAGATGTTGTGGGTGCTTCATCACTGGAGGTTTTTTAAAAAGATTGGACTAGAAGACCTCCAAGCTCCCTTCCAGCTCTATTCTGATGGATTGACTACTTTGATTTCTTAAGTCTTATCAATCAATCAATCAATCTGTTTATTACAGCCATAAGGCCAGACATAATCAAAATATAACAACAGTGACAATTTTACTTCCATATTTACAGAATATAAAACCATCAAACAATCAATGTAATATAATCCGAAATTCTCAAAATAAAACATTATATTAAAATTTTTCAGACCTTAATAATGGTGCGACGTATTGTGCAAATGGTGGCACAAAATTGGGCAACCTGAATTGATATTTTCGGATCCTTATCTGAAAGTAGCAACTTTAGATAAAATTCATATCCCCTACCTGGAAACTTTTTCAATATCGGATATATAAGAATCTGTCTACAATCTTTATATAAAGAACAATGAAGCAGCATATGGCTTAGGGTTTCTATAGAGCCATCACCGCATGGACACACCCGAAGGTGCATAGGAATGCCCTTAAACCATCCAAAAAGGACTGCCGAGGGCAACGCATCTAGTCTGGCTAAGGTGAAAGCTTTACGAAATTTCAAAATTGTAATGGAAAATAGATAAGAAGCTGGGAAATACCCTTCTGGAAGCAAGTGACAAATATTGGAATGTGCCACCTTACTTAAGTTTGTTTGGAGATCAATATCCCAGAGGACGTTGTTTCAAGACAGTTCTAGCATTATCAAATCCTAATGAACACAGACTTTCCATAGATAAGCCCAGCAATTTAATTTTATCTAGTGCTTTTTTTCCCCACGATGATTTAAAATGATCTATAAATACTAAAGGGGCTAAACCTACAAGCATCAAAATTAACTTTAGCCAAAAGGTAAGAAGGAGTGACCATGCTCTAGCTTCCAATGAAACTAAACCTATTTCCACCCATGGGATGGCATTTTTAATACTTTTAGGTACCATCAGTATGGCTCTAATAAACTTATTTTGAATAATTTCAATAGCATTAAGCTTTGCAAGTGAACATATTTGTGAGCCATAGAGGAGCTGAGGGACTGCCTTAGCTTGAAAAACCTTACAAGCTACCGAGATATAGTAAGCTCCTTTAGAATGATAAAATTTTATGATAGTTGATTAGGTGCGCTGTGCAACACTTGCCCGATAAAAGAAAATGAGTATGCCAGGGTAGGGAGGCATCGAACTGCACTCCAAGATATTTATAGGTACGCACCTGTTCAATTGGAGTCCCATCAATTTGCCATTTATGGATCTTACGATAAGAGGCAAATACTAAAACTTTAGGTTTTTCATAATTTATTAAAAGTTTGTATTCTATGCAAAATAAAGCTAGTGCCCTAAGTGCTTTTCTCATTCCCACCTGAGAAGTGGACAAAATAACTATATCATAGTGCTGGACTTGCACGATCAGCCAAGATAGGTAGATGATGGGCTGGATCAGCAAGCACTTGCATTATTGGATTTAGATACAAATTAAAAAGTAGTGTAGCTAATATGCAACCTTGCCTTACACCTCTATAGGTTGGAACTGCTTTAGATAAATGTCCCCAGGGGGAACATCTGATTTTTAGGGAGGTATTTGAATAGAGCGACTGGATGAGAGCCAACAGCCTTTTATCAATCGTGGAATGTCTTAGACTATACCACAATCTCTCTCTTGGTATTAGATCAAAAGCTGACTTAAAATCAACAAAAGTTGCATAAAGAGAACCACGGTAGAATATTTTTCAGCCAAATGGTGCAAAATTAGACAATGATCGAGTGTTGAACGTTCCTCCCTAAATCCGGCCTGTTCTTCAGCAATAATATTTTCATTTTGTATCCAATCCACTAACTTTGTATATAAAAATCTGGCATAGAGTTTATTTGTTGTATTTAATAAAATATAGGCCTATAGTTTACAGGGTCAAGTCTACTTCCTTTATTTTTGTATATTGGTACTACAATGGTCTGATTCCAATCAGGTGGAAAACGTCCTATGTTATTAATATGAGTGAATAGGATGGCTAAAACTGGGGCCCACCAATCTTTATTTTCCCTTATTAATTCTGGGGGGATAAAATCCCCTCCGGATGCTTTACCTGATTTCAACTGGGCAATAAGCTCTTTGACCTCAGCTATGGATACTGGAGGCCAATCCGGGAGGTCATTACAAGGGGGGATCACTTCTGAAATCACAGCAGGAATCCACTTAAAGATGTTTTTAAAATGATCCTCCCATTTGTCAGCAGATATTTGTGAAATAGGGCCAAAACATCTATTTGTAAAAGACTTATTTATTAAATGCCAGAACAAAGTAGAATTTTTGAGCGTTGCTGCTGAAATTAGATTACTCCTATTTTCTCTTATAGCCTGTTGTTTGTTATCTTTAAGAGATCTTTACAGATTTTTTTTGTGGTCTTGAGTAATTTAGAAGTGTTCACCGAATTTTCCTGGCGAAAGGAAATGATTGCATTTAAGAAAGCTTTTTTTGCTTTAATGCAATCACTATCATACCAAGATTTAGATCTTTTATGCGCATGCACATAGTAAGCTGTTGTAAATCTTGTCAGGGGGGGTTGGAGATGAGTGGTAATTGATTGATACAACAAAAATGCTTGTTCATATGAATCAGATGAGCAAATTTGAACATGCATATGAAGGTCAACATTTCAGCCATAGTTTTGGCCAGTTCCTGAGTAAGTCTCCTCTAGTATTGAGCCTTTCTCTTAGCCTGGCACATGTTCCAGCCAGTCATCTTCTGTCCATCTATTGTCTTCATGATTTTTTTCCTAATCCTTCAATTCCCCCTCCCCAAACCCACTTCTGGATTTGCAGAAAATAACTACATTTTTTTTTTAAACTTTTTTCCCCTACTTTTAGGGGTAGAAGCCAGCTTGAGGAGTGGCACTTTTGAACAAGAAGAGAAATATGAAATAGATGGTGGTCCTCGACAAGGCCGCCTGAACACAGAACAGCTTGTGAGGACTTTTTTTTAATCAGTGTTTCAGTTATATTGTTGTGATAGCTTGGAATTTTTGTCATTTTATCTTTGTTTTTCCAGACAAGGGAAGAATAGTGCTTTGTTTCAGCATTTGGTTTTGAGAAATGATAGCTAAATTAAATTAGAAATGTAATTGTTAACTGTAAACGGATTTTTATTGTCAATAAATGTTCCAAAATATTCAGGTTTTTGGTAAGTTTTGGAAAAATGTTTACAGCTATTACCTGAAGTAGAATGGATTCATCTTTGATAAATTTTAACACATCAGTAATTTTGGTTAGTAAAACTGTTTGATAGCCTTGTCCTGTTGTGTATGTTGTTGTGCAAACATGTAAATTATAATTAACATGTCCTACTGAATCTTCAGCTTGTTTCTCCTCCCACATCTAGTAATATTTTGTAATCATTTGTTAATTAAGTTTAAACACATGCACACCAAATTCAGATTATTTTTAATCCATATATGAAGTTTAGCCCCTTTCATCTCTTTACCTGTTTTCTACCAGCTTCTTCTGTTCCAAACCTCCACATATTTTTTGTTTATTTGATCTATTTGCTATCCCTCATTTCTACAACATAACTGATCTGAATTTTTTTTACAATCTTTTTGTTTCCTTTTTCCTCACATTCCATTGCTTTCATCCAAAGGATTGTTTACTCTTTTTTTATCCCTAAGAATAGGTTACATGTCTGATTTCCTCCTTTGGAACTATTCCTCTTGGCTTCTTGTTTGTTGTTCTGTTTTGTCCCATTTTTGCCAATTCTGGGCTCTTGTTTCTATCTTCACCCTTTTTTTTTCAGCAGCTTCTAGTCCTTAATTTGTTGCTGGTTGATTTGGTATTTTACATGCCATATAAAAATTATAGCTCGTAGATCAACAGAAGCTAGTTAAACTAATATTTAGACTGGGGCACGAGAACATAATTGATTGTAGAGGTTTATTAAATAAGAAATTGTGGCTTTATCTCAATTGTCAGCTGCATAGATGAGAACAATCTATTCTTTATTCCAGTTGCCTAAACTTTTTGATGGCTGCTACTTCTATTTCCTGGGAATATTTAAAGAACACAAGAAAGATGACCTCAAAGAACTGGTGAAATCTGGAGGGGGACAGATTCTCCTAAGGAAGCCTAAATCAGATAACGATGTGACTCAGACAATCAATACAGTAGCCTATCATGCTGAGATTACTTCGGACCAGAGTTTCTGTACACAATATATAATCTATGATGCCTCTTCTAACTACAAACCACAAAAAGTTCATCAAGGAAAAGTTTGGGAAGTACCCTCCAGGTGGCTTATTGACTGTGTGATGTCATTTCAACTGTTGCCTGTTAAAAATGTTTTTCCTAGCATTGTGATAACATAAATGCTGAGATTTAAATTTTGCTGAAATTTTATTAAAAGATACTGAAATTATGTACTGAAACAAATAGATACACTTACTTCTGGAGAGGAAGGTTGTATAAAATTGAGTTACTCCTCAAATCTTAACATGTATATTTTTAAAAATAATAATTGAAGATTCAGATTCCCAAAATCTATTGATTATTGATATTAGCGGAGTTCTCCCTTTTTTTGTGTTCTGTAAACTATATTAATTATTATTGGATATACTAAAATTATCATTCTGTATTGAGATCTTACAAAATCTCAGAAAGCTTGATCAGTACCATTCTGGTTACTGTGATCTTAATATGAGCCTCAGCTCATATTAATGATTTTTTTCTCATTTTCTACATGGTGAAATTAACATTGTCACTGAATTTGTTTTAAAAGATTACTTAGATGTATAATCATGAATTCTGTGCGTCTGTTGAAAGATTCGTTCTTTAATGTTTTTGTATCACAAATAAATCACATTCTGAAACATTACCGTGCAAGACTTTTATTTAAATCTGAGTTTATTTGTGTGTGAGAAAGAGGGAAAGAAAGCACTCAATATAACAAATCATGACAATCAGTAAAGAGCTTGCAATATAATCAATCCTCACAATCAATAGAGTCCTTTCAATTATAGGTCAGTATTGAATTGAATCAAATGATTTTACAACATGAAAAGATAAGGATCAGTTTTCTCAAATGGGTTAGTCTAGGGAGGCAATTTGCAGCCAGCCAGATGTTAATGGAGGGTGGCCCAAGGGAAGTTAGAGTTCAACTTCACATTTTGTTACCTTTCCCTCCTTAATCTTTAATTGAAACATCATTTGACATTTCTTTGGACATGTCTGTGGTGTTACAAGGTGCAAGAATCAATATTTCTATAAAAAAAACTGTAGCCTTACAGATGTTGGATTTCTCCCAGCCCCAGGCAGTATGGACAATGCCTTGAAACAATAACATTCTATTTTATCAATTCTATGCTATAATTGCACCCTTTCATCTTCTGACATAAATGAAAGAACTGTATTTCTTAACTGTTTAGGGAGATGAATAACATAGTAAATGCTAGAAACAGTTATCTTGGATTAGTGACACGGTGCCTCTTTTATTCTAACTACTAACTCCTTTCACTTTTCTTCTGTCCAGCTGCCTTTTAGCAGAAGCAAAAGCAGCATCTAACCTCCAGCATAATAATACCACTTATGCTAAGTTACCTGTTACAATACATTCATCAAAATTTGTAGTAAAAATGCAATAGCAACAAAAAGAGTAGAGAAATACTGTACCTGTCAGATCTGCCTGGCTCGGCTTGGGGGGGCCTCACAGGCATCCTGACAAAAAAGAGGGGGAGGATGACAGGTGAAAGAAGGGGGAGGAATGATTAAAGAGGGAAAGATGAAAGGGCAATAAAGCTTTGTGTGTGATAGGAAATCAGGAGGAGAATGACAGGTGAGAAGGACCAGAGCAGCTGGGATCCTGTTTGTACCAGCATCCCACAGCCAGGCACCCTGAGAAGTATGCAAATTACCACCAAACATCTCACAAGTTCTCAAAACATCTTAGCGAGCTCCAGTTGGCTAGAAACAGACTGGTCACAGGGGAGAGATGGGATGGAGGCAAACCTAGATCTTATTTTTGTATCCAGCAAGTGTGGATTTCAGAGCTGGCTTGACTTTACTGCAACCATCACTCTTAGTAACAGAACCCTTTGCTTTAACCAAATGGGATTGAAGACTTTTCTTTGTTCAGGTCTGACAGTACCTCTGCCTCATGCAGAGGCAATGGAGGAAAGCTGACTGCTATGTTTTTTTTGTTTGGTTTTTTACTTTTTGGGCGCTTTGTAAAATGAGAATTCTAAAAGTACTTTTCTAATTACAGTGTCATGGTTCCGACTAATGAAACACTTCAAAGAACTTCCAGGCATGTTTATCCTAAAGCCTTTATTACCAGTGTTACAAATTGACGGCACATCATGGAGGTTTATGCCAGAATCTGAATTCCTCTTGCTGGCATCTAACTTTTCTGGCTAAACCCCTCCCTTATCTTGCAGTCACAAGTCACATCTTCCAATTAGCCCAGAGGGCAGAGATTCACTTCTGTTCCTTTTCTCTGGCTTTTGTTATTTCCCCTCTTCTCTGTCATCTGAATTAACTCTAAAAATACCAGACAGTTCTGCATATTTTCTCAAAGCAAGAATATTCAATATTAGCAGCGTTGACATACAGTGTATTCAGAAAGTATTCAGACTCTCTTCACTTTTGTCAATTTTGTTACATTGCAGCCTGATCCTACAGTTGTGAAATTTATTTTTTTCTCATTCAGTACCCCATAATGACAGTGAAAACAGAATTTTAAAAATGTAAATTTATTAAAAAGAAAAAAATGAAATAACACATTTAGTGATACTTCAGATCCTTTGTAACAACACTTGAAATTTAGCTCAGGTGCCTCCCAGTTCTCTTGATCATTGCTGACATGTTTCTACACCTTGCTTGGAGTCTACCTGTGGTAAATTAAATTTATTAGACATGATTTGGAAAGACATACATCTCTATAGAAGTCACAGCTGATAGTGCATACTACAGCAGAGCAAAAGCCATGAGGTCAAAGGAACTGCCTGCAGAGCTCAGAGACAGGATTATTGCAAGGCAAGGCATAGATCTGGGGAAGACTACAACAAATTTTCTGTGGCACTGAAAGTTCCTAAGAATACTGTGGCCTCCATAATTGTGAAATGGAGGAAGTTTGGCACAACCGAGACTCCCAAGAGCTGGTCACCCGGTCAAACTGAGCAATCGGAGGAGAAGGGCCTTAGTAAGATAGGTGATGAAGAATCCAATAGTCATTCAGACTGAGCTCCAGAGATCCTGTGTGGAGATCGGACAGAGTTCCAGAAGGACAATCATCACTGCAGCTCTCAACCAATCTGGGCGTTATGGCAGACTGGATAGACTGAAGCCTCTTCTCAATGCAAAACACATGAAAGCTCCTGTGTCTCAAGTCTTTCTGGCTTCACGTTTTGTTCAGCCTCTCCTCCCTGAACATTGACATCTTCAATAATCATTTTTTAATCATTAGATGAGTTATTGTTAAATAGATCACCGTCATTAAGTGAGACATACCCAGAATTTGCATTAATTCTGTCCCAATTTTGTTCTGCAAAATTAGCAGACCTTGAAATTACAATTCTTTTACTTCCATCGCTAAAGCGATATCCTTTTGACCCTGGCTTATAGCCCACAAACCTGAGCTTTCTTACCTTTTGCTGTCCCTTTCTTCTGATTGCCTTAGGAATATGTACCCATGCAGTACTTCCAAAAATTCTCAAATGTGCCACTGATGGCTTTTTCCCATATAGAATGGCATATGGAGTATTATTAATGGAGGAACTCCACAGTCTGTTAACTATATAATTGGCAGTCAATATGGCTTCTCCCCAATATGACCTGCTCATACCAGAATCCTCTAATAATGAATCTTTCACTGTTTACAAAACATTCCTTCTTTCAGCTACACATTCTCTGCTGCTGTGTAAGGATTTGTACGTCTGTGTCTTATCCCCAACTGCCCCAACCATTGTTGGAATTTAGTTGACATAAACTCAGTACCTCTGTCAGTTTGCAATTGACACACTTGTTGTCTGTACTTTCTCTCTACAAAACTTACCCACTGTTTAAATTGTTGTAGCACCTCTGTCTTACCTCTAAGCAAGTAGCAAAACGAATACCTGCTATAATCATCAACAATTACCAGTGCATATTTTGCTCCTCCCAAACTAGCTTGAATAGGTCCCACCAGATCTGCATGGACCAGCTCTAGAGCTCTTTTTGTTTGTCTTGGGCTATATTTACTAACTGGGAATGCCTTTGATTTCGATGCTTTGCATACTGTACAGTCCAAATATGTTTTGCATCCCTTCAAATTTAGCCCTTCTGCAAACTCTTGCATTTGCTGCAAAACTTTAAAACTTGCACGGCCAAGTCTTCTATGTAGAAGATGAACACATGAATCATGCTCTGCAACATTCTTAAATATATGGGAACATTGAACCTTTTGTCCCTGCAATACATATAGATTATCTTCCTTTATGCCTTCTGCACAAATATTCCCATTCCTTTTGATGAGACACTTCCCATTTACAAAAATGGTCTCAAAACCTTGTTTGTCTAAATTAGACACACTTAACAAATTATGTTCCATCTCAGGTACACAAAGCACATTGGTAAACTTTGATTCCAAATATGGAATTTTTACATCGCCTTTTCCAATGATTTTTGCTTTCTGGCCATTTGCCAAAGCCACAGTTTCTTGTGCTACTGGAACAAACCTGCAAAATAATTCAGAGTCATTAACAATTGTTTGACTTGCCCCACTATCTATTAGCCACTTGTCTCTGTTGTTGCTATAGCAAACTTTTGCAACATCAAAATGTTCCTTTTGCAAATCAGTCCCTTTTGCTTCCACAAATGTCCTTTGCTGCAAATTGTTCCTTTGCAAGTAGTTCCTTTTCAGATGTGTCTTTGCTCCACAAATGTAGCAATTCTTTTCTTGCTTAGCTCTCTGCCTGGCCACAAAATCCTGTAGGCTTCCCCAATGGTCTCTTTGCTATTGAACAAACTAGACAACTGACCACATATCTTTCAATGTCTTTTTTCAAAGAGGGACACCAAAACTGCCTCTTAATCAAATGCAGAGTTTTAAAAACCCAAATGTCCTGCCCATTTAGAGTCATGAGCACATTTTAAAATGGTGTTCCTCAAGCTTGAGGGCATGTATAATTTGTTTCCGACCCAAGCCAATCCATCGCACATGATGCAGTCATTCTTATGGGTAGCCAGCCATTTGTCAAGCTTAAGTGCTTCTTTAAGCTTCTCACACAGTTCATTTGGAATATCATGTTCCCTCTTTGCTTGAGTCCTACTGGTTACTGGGGCTGCTAGCTGCTTTCAGAGAATGATTAGTCAGACCATCTCAGCCTTAACACTATTGTATTGGAGCAACCTGGACAGAGCGTCTGTCATAAAGTCCCCCCCCCCCAGAATATAGCACAGATTAAAATTGAACCAATTAAAGTATTGAGCTCAATGAACTTATTTAGGGCAGTGGTTCTTAACCTTTTTGAACAAATTGCCCCCTTGAGCCAATGAGGAAGTTGTCATCCCCCCCCCCCAACATAACCTCTCAATCACAACATAGGAAATAATTCTTTAATTTATGCAAATACTTTTTTTGTTTTCTTTAAAATTGTCATCAGGACATATCAATGCAAATAATTTATTTCCAGTCTTTTTCTCATATCTCAATTGTGTGAAAAATGTTGGTGCCATCCATCCCTTCATTCCCAAACTTCGTGATACATGTATTTCATTATTTTCTTATTTATTCAAGACACTTAAATGTAATGACCACTGAAAACAGTATTCAATTGCAAGAAAGTGAAATGCCCCAAAAGAAAAACAGTATGTCAAGCCCTGCGGGGCTTGCCAT